ACAAAGACTGTGTTTGGTAATAATGCTATTTATAGGTGTATATTGATCAGCTTCTATGTCATGTCAGAGTAAGTGGGGGAGGTAAGATGAATGATCACTGATTAGATTGTTGGTAATCCCTGCAGTGTGACATGCATTGTGTGAATCCAGTCAATTGTGGTGACTTGTTCCCCCTCTTTTATGCCATCTGCACACGTTCACAGTTGGTGTGAAGGAAAGAAAGGAACAGGGCTGGGGAGACAGCTTGAGGTATTACACACAGCAAATGCCGTGGGAGGAGGGAAAAAATATGCTTCCTGGCTGCTTCGAAATCCAGCCTGATCAGTTGCCACTGGTAACCCTGCACCCAGCAATGAATCTGCCAATGCTTCCCATTCTGGCAGTTTAAGAATCAGAATATCTGAGTTGGAAGGGACCTTGGAGGTCTTCTAGTCCAACCCCCTGCTCAAGCAGGAAACTTGCACCATTTCAGACAAATGGTTGTCCAGTCTCTTCTTAAAAGCCTCCAGTGATGGAGAACCCACAAACTTCTGGAGGCAAGCACTTCCACTGATTACAGGGAGTCCTCGACTTATAAGTTTGTTTAATGACCATTCAACGACGCTGAGAAAAGAGACTTAGGACCAGTTTCCACTCTTACGACCGTTGTATCGTCCCCATGATGATATGATCAAAATTCAGACGCTTGGAAAGTGACTCCACATTTTTAACGGTTGCAGTGTCCGAGGGTCACGCGATCCCCTTTCGCGACCTTCTGGCAAGCAACGTCAACGGGGAAGCCAGATTTACTTAGCAACCGGGCTACTCACTTATCAACTGCAGGGATTCACTTAACAACCGGGGCAAGAAAAGGCCGTAAAATGGGGCAAAATTCACTTAAGCAATGTCTAATTTACCAATCGTGTTTGGGGGCTCAGTCATGGGCGCAAGTCGAGGACTGCCTGTATACAGTTTTAGATTTTTTTTTTGCTATGGCTGGGAAGGAAGAGAAGTTGGATGACAAGGGAGAAGACCAGCTTTGAAAGAAGAGGAGGAGCTGGCTCTAGAAGCCAACCTTCGAGCAAAGTAACCGCTTGGGTGGCGGTGTTGAAGATATGATTCATAGATCGCATGATCCAAGGACATAGGAGTCTCCAATTTCCCCCTTGGGACTTTGAAGAGTCACATTACGGATCTAGCATTATCAGTGCTCCATAAATACAGGAAGGTATTACCTGATAAATTGCCCAGGAGGGGCTGAAAAAGCAACCTTATCTACTGATTATCACACAAAGCCTACTGGCTGATAACAACATGATGCTATTTGTGGCCTTAATAGGGAAAGGATGTTTCCTGAGAAATTAGGGCAATTGTGTTTATCGGAGCAATTATTTTTCCCAAGAATGGAAATAGGTCCAAATAGGTCTCGGTAGAAGATAGCAAAGAATCCATTCCAAGGAAGGGAGTGGATCAAGAACACACCAGGTACAGGATGTTTTTCATTAAATATCTCCAGGGCTACCAGAAAAAAACAACACAACTAAATCACCTGGCAAGGTTAATTAGAAGCAGTGAGTGGAGGTGAGCCAGGAGGAGAGCTTGGGTTTTTTTTTTTTTTTACATTCAACCCCACCCTGTTTTTGCATGCCTTGCCTACACATTTTTCTCCTCCTCTGACAGGCAAGGACAAAATGAGACTGCGGTGTTCTGAACGGGCTGCAAGCAGCAGGGTTGCGGAATCCATCAGAAGCAGTCAGGTGTGACCTTAAAGGTGCAGGTTACCTGCTGCTATGAAATACATTGGGCAGGTTCCAGGCAAGCTTTCTTTCCCCAAATTCTAGATCAGGGACTGGATGTGCACTTGGTTCAGACCAGGGTGGCAAAACCAAAAACACCAAATCAGTGTTTCTCAATCTCAGCAATTTGAAGATGGGTGGATTCCAGCTCCCAGAATTTCCCAGGCAGCCAGAATTCTGGGAGTTGAAGTCCACAAATTCTCAGCCAGAATTCTGGGAGTTGAAGTCCACACATCCCCTGCCAGAATTCTGGGAGTTGAAGTCCACACATCCCCTGCCAGAATTCTGGGAGTTGAAGTCCACACATCCCCAGCCAGAATTCTGGGAGTTGAGTCCACACATCCCCTGCCAGAATTCTGGGAGTTGAGTCCACACATCCCCTGCCATAATTCTGGGAGTTGAAGTCAACACATCCTCAGCCAGAATTCTGGGAGTTGAAGTTCACTGTACGGGAATGACTGTATGGGAAGGAAGGAACCAGCTACTTACTCTGTGTAAGGGCGACGGTGGTTGTGGCAGCTGTAATTGGTATTTCTGACGTATGGGTGCCGGTGCAGCTTCCTGCGGGCAAGCTAATGATGGTGGCTTCTCCCAGAAGGTTACAGATGCGCTGTTGCATGGGGGTGAGAATCACTGGGGTAGCAGAGGTCCCTGTCGCGTCTTCTTCAGCCTCCTGGCCTTCCCCGCCTCCTTCCTGGTCATTGCCACCATCTTCTACGGCGGCTCTGACTTGGGCGACTTTGCGCCGTACCTCCGTCTTGAGGTCCGACCACTTCTTCTTCACTTCCGGCAGCTCCCGGTGGCACGTCGCTACCGCGTTGACCCGTCGCAGGATGTTGTGCCAAGCGGCGGCCTTGACGGTCAGCGGCACGCCCGCGTTGAAGTGGTTGATGAGCAGGTGCTTGCTCCGCTCCAGTTCTTCTACGATGATCTCCACCTCCCGTTCCGAGAAGTTCATCTTCCGTTTTTTAGCTGGTGGGGCCGGAGGGGACGACATGGCCATAGGAAGGCCCAAGGATGAAGACAAGCCAGGTCAAGGGGGTCTGGAGACAAAGCCCGGGGACTGAGCCTGCAAAAAAAAGAAGGGGATCATGTTGAAAAAACAGATCCAGAGGCCAATTTGGAGCAAGTCACCCTATTTCGGGAGGGAGAGGCTTCGTTATGCAAGAATAATATCTCCCAAAAGATGGATGCAAAATTCAACCAAAGGGCAGATAAACAGAGCCAGTGAAGGATTTACAAATTTTACGATATTCATATTTGTAAGTATTTATAATGCAGGACTGAAGGTAAATGGCGACTTAGGAATGCAGAGATTATGCATGGGTTAACGCTGAGAAGTTAGCTCCCAAGGTATGTTTTGAAGAAAAGTTTTCCCAAATGACAGAGAATCATGGGGAAACCGGGTGATGTTTTAGGAAAGCAAAGAAGTCAACTGAGAGAGTGAAGAGGGTGGACGCAACAGCGAATACAAGGAGTGCATAATTGACTCTCAGCCTATTCAGGTGGTCCTTTTGTACAAACTTACCTAGGAGAGCATCTCATTTAGCATTTCTGGACTTGGAAGTCCAGAAATCAGAGTTAAGGGTTGTTTCAAAAGGGAGTCAAGAGAAGGATGGTCGAGGTTTAGTTTAGGATGGCATTTTGAAATTGGACCATTTCTAAAGCAGATGGGTATATAGGATCCTCCCAAGGGGTTTTTTTTTTTTGGGGGGGGGGGTGTCTCTGAAATAGGGGGCTACATGGAAACTGTGATGACCCTGAGGTAGACTTTGGGAAGGGAGATAAAAGGGAATAAAAAAATAAATACCGGTAAGGCCAACCCCAGTCATTTTTAAAGCATGAAATAAGGAATGGATTTTTCTAGTTATACACCTGTAAATTCAATTTGGGGGGTGGGTAGGAGTGGGAAAATGGCCCTTTAAAGGATTGAGTAGCCGCGTAACAAATATAAATTCATTTCTAATTTAATTCCTGAGGAAGGCAGGCCCCCCCCCAAATCGCAATAATTTCAATTTTTGAGGGGAGGGGAATGAGGAAAATATGGGGGTTTCAATTGCAAGGATACATTTTTGGGGAGAGAGGGAGAAGTGACAGGAATTCATATAATTTCCTGTTCAGTTTAACATCTCAGGAAGGAAAAAAAGAAGCCTCAGTAATGATTGTTATAAATATTAATTTGTTTTGGGAGGGGGGGAAAGAAATCAGGGAGCATTGGCGGCTTCCATTTCAGGAGCGAATTTGGTGAGGGGGAAAGAGAAGGGAATTGATATCATTTGCATTCTCCGATGCAATCCGAATTGAAAAGTGAATTCTAATTTATCAATTAATTTTTTTCACCCCTCCCCCCCAAAAAAAAAAATAAGAGGAAGAAAAGGTGTCAGGGGGAATTTTTGGGGGGCTTCAGGCTTAGGGCCTGGTGGGAGAGAAGTCCCTCAGCCTGGACTGGACGGGCCCCCCTCCCAGCGCCCCCCGTCGCCCAGCCCGCCATTTCGAGGTCCCTCCGCTCTTCCCGCCGTCCCCTTTCCCAGCAGGCGAAGAAAGGTACGCAAATTGCGTACCCCAACTACCCGGCGACACCCGCCCCGCAGAGAGCCTCTACTTTGCGGCAGTGGCGTAATGGCTTCCAGAATCGGCCCCCTCGTGCCCCTTCTTCTCATTGGCGCAGCTCTTTGCCCATTAGGGGTCAGAGCCCGCCCTCCAGCCACGCGCGAAGGGGTGGCGATTGGCTCGGAGCGCCGCGGCGGGTGGGTCCGTCATCCGGGAGAGCTGGAAGCCAATTGCCGGAGCGGCCTCGATTGAAACTCGATTGGCTCCCAGCGTTGTCCGTCAAGCGAGCGAGTTTTGATTATACGGCGTTTCCTTACAAGGGCCGGCCCGTTCGGACTCGGATTTGGCGTTCTTTCCGTCGGCCAACAGGGGGCCCTTGCGCGCCGCCTCCAATCGGCGCTGCCCTCCCCCGTGACGTAATGAGGAGCGGGAGAAGGAGGAGCAAAGCAAGACACGTTTTTCCTTCTTTCCTCTCGCCCTCCCATCCTTCCTTCTCGCGAGATTTCCTCCGCCCCGCCCTCTCGCTTCGGATTGGACAGCGTGGATAAAAAGCGGCGCCGTCGAGCAATCGGAGGGCGGTGCGCCCTCAAGAAGGCGGGACATGGCGTCAGAAAAGCCGCTTCCGCTGGGCAGGAGGCCAGTTCCGCTGAGAGGCGGCGCCTTTGGTCTTGGTAGCGTGTCTGTGTTTGTGTGGCGGTTATGCCGGCCGGCGCGCGGCGTTCGCTGGCTTCCCCGACGGTCGTTAACGGCGTGTTGTGCCAGTGCGGCGGGGTCTCCTCGTCCGCTTCCTCCTCTTTCTCCTCCGGCGGCGGCGAGGCCGCTTCCCGGTTCCTGGCCGAGCACGAGCGTCGCCTGTATAGCCTCTTCGCCCAGCTGGACATTAACCGGGACGGCGCCCTCTGCGTCCACGACCTGGCTGTCGGGCTGGAGCGGCTCGGCCTTCACCGCTCGGAGCGGGACCTCTGGGTGAGTTTGGCCCCCCTCCCTCCCCAGGGTGGATCCACACGTGCGCTCGAACACGCGTGTCAGCATCTTTACACGCCTCCACCCGGGTTAGCCCACGAAGTGTTGAACTCCTTCCTGGACGGACTCTCGTAGCCTGCTTTGTGTGTGTGTGTGTGTGTTTTTTTTTTCCTTCGATTTATCCTGGTTTATAGAATTTCCTGATCTATAAACTGTGCAGGCAGTCTGTGCAGGCAGTCCTCGGCTTACAACCGTTCATTTTAGTGACTTGTTCAAAGTTAGGACGGTGCTGCAAAAGAATAAAATAAAAACCACTTTTGCGACCTTCCGACAAGCCAAAGCCGATGGAGGAGCCAGATTCGCTTAACCGTGTGACTGATTTGACAACCACAGAGATTGGCTTTAACAAGTGTGGCGAGAAAGGTCATAAAATGAGACAAAACTCACTGAATGAGATTTTTGGGCTCAGCTGTGCTTGTAAGTCAAGGACTACCTATATTTTATTTGGGTACTCTGTTTATGTCTAGGAGGACTTTGTTTATTTCTACCAGATTCTGTAACAGCTTTGGTCATCCACCTGGTAAACTCGCAAGAATCTTTTTTCTCGCCATGTACATGTATACATCTGGGCTAGACTGTATGGTTTCTCTGTATCATATCATACTAGCTTCATAACTGTACTTTGCTGTGAAACTATGGTCAGGCTTAGTTTTTGGGGAGAAAAATAAGGTGTGGGGCGGATTCTGCCTCTGCCTACCAGCATCCATTGGTATTCATCTGACTGGCATCCTGTCAGTGTCTGAGAGAGTTGAGGGCTGCTTGGAAACTGAAGCAGTATTTGCTGTGTGAGCAAGAAGGAGACAGCAAGGAGCCTGGGCATGGCTTAGCTCCACTGTTCTGGACTAAAGCTGCTTGGTGCTGTGAAACTGCAACTCCTCTGCTTGTGTTTTGCATTTAGAAGAGCTTTTTTTTTCAGGTGGGGAGGGGGAGGTAGAACTCAGCATCAGAGCATGTTAATAATAATAACATAGGAAATATTACTGCTCTGATGGTCATTTCAAAAAAAATCCTTTCTTAGTGAGCACCTAGAAGCCAAGAGGAACTTAGGTGCCAAATTTCAAGTTTGTAGGCTTTACGATTCTGGAGATTTCGTGATGACACATGAGTGGTCTTTTGCTTTTTATGTGTGGGCATATGCATAATTTTGTATTTTGTCATGTTTATGTAGTGTATATTGGAGGTGGAGACCCTTTGAGAGCTGCATGCAGCTAAACTTCATTTTAATGTATGCCAATGAGTGTACATTCAAAGTGACAATAATGGCATTCTAAGTCTTCAGTTGATGGGATTATTTTTGTGGAGGGTTTTTTTTTCACTCTGGTGTGAGCACCTCCTGCAAAACGAACTGGATGGAAATGTACTAAAGGATCAGAAATATGAAAAAGTCCTTGACTTAGCAACTGTTCATTTAGCGACGGAAGATGGAACAACACTGGAAAAAAATTACAAGCAGTCCTTGCAGCATTCCCATGGTCCAGTTGATAACATGCATGTCTGATTGCAGTGTCCCAAAATCACATGATCAATTTCCCAGCCATCTTCAGATAAGCAAAGTAGGGGGGGGGACTATTTGCTTAAGGACTGCATGATTCACTTAATAACTGCAGTGATTCACTTAAGCCTGGCCTAAAGGTTGCAAATTCAGGCACAACTCACTTGCATATTGTGGGGCCATCCCTATTTAAAGATAAGTGGGGGGAACACCTGCAAGACTCTGTTAATAACAAGAGTTGGAAGGGACCTTGGAGGTCTTCTAGTCCAGCCCTATACCATTTCAGGCAAATGGTATTGATCCTCGCTGTCAGGAAAATTCTTAGTTCTAGGTTCTTCTCTCCTTGATTAGTTTCGATCCTGGCTTCTTGTCCTGCTTTCTGGTGCTTTGGAGAAATCGTGGGTGCTCCATCACTGGGTGTTTTTAAGAAGAGTCTAGTCACTTATCTCAATTGGTGTAGGTTCTCCTGCTTGAGTGGGGGGCTGGACTAGAAGACGTCCAAGATCCCTTTCAGTTTATTCTATTCTAGTATTGCACAATTTCTCTCTCTCTCCCCCCCCCCCCCCCTGCATGAAACAGTTTATAGCTTAAGAGGGAAAAATAACTAAGCACACAGTACCTGACAGTTACTGAAAAAGTTTCTGCCAGACACATCTGAATCAAATTGAGAGGGGAAGTTTATGACACATAGGCCAATGTAGGTAGTGTTTGCACTTGTGGTTTTGGTTTCTTGCCTGGACTATCTTGCAGGGTTGTGTCAGTACATTTGCTTTTATCCATACCTTATGCTCTTCTTCCTTTTGCTTATTGTTCCATTCTCAAAAGTCGATTGTAAGATACAAGGACAAAAGGGGAAAAAAATAGAAGAAAAGGGCATTGACTTCTAACTCTTCTTAGCTCTTCTGTTTTTTGTTTTTGTTTTCTTTTCCCCTTGTATCTCACACCTAGGAGTGGGCTGCTCAGGGTATGCATGGGTTCGGGCAAACCCTTTGCTCTGGCGGTTGGTTGGGCCCACCCACCTGCCTTTGCTTCAGTCTGTCCTTTATTTCTGCAGTTTTGAAGCTCAGCTTAGGTGCTGCACAGCAGATTATTTATTTGCTTATTTATTTGTCAATTGCTTACAAGATAATAGGTCAGTGGTGGCTAACCTTCTTGGGCTCCTGTGCCAAAAATTGTGTGCGTGCTAGCGCTTGCGTGCCAGCACCCAGAAGGCAATGAGCAACCCCCCCCCCCCCCCCCCCCCCCCCCCCCGGGCAATCCCCCCCCCCACTGCCTCCCCTCTTACCTGCACTGTGCTTCACAGGTGATTTTTGGCTGGTTTGAGGCCTTTTTCGGCCTCCCAGAGGCTTGAAAAAAGCCTCTGCAGGCCAAATAGACTCATTTCGTTACTTCTGGTACTATAGGAATAAGCCTCTGGGAGGCTGAAAAAGGCCTCAAACCAGCCAAAAATCACCTGTGAGGCACGCACATGCGCAGTGAGATAAGTTTGCCTGCAGCTCGCGTGCCGGCACAAATGGCTTGCGTGCCACCTGTGGTATGTGTGCCATAGGTTCGCCATCACGGTAATAGATATAATAGACATGAGCATGAATACAGGAAATAGGTACGAATAAATGGGGGACAATAGGACACGATGGTGCGCTTATGCACAATGTATCTAGTTTAGTGCGCCTCAGCTGTTTTACTCACGTGTTGCAGTGGAAAGTCAGTTTTAAAGCTGTAAAATGGTGGTTTTGTAATGGGCTGCGCACGAATGCGCTCACCAAACCCGTTGTGAAACTGGTAGAAGCCCATCACTGCTCACACCCCTTTTCTAAACTCCTTTTCCTTCACTTAATGTCCTATTTTTTTTTCCTTTGTATTTTATATACTAAAACACAAAATCCAATATTGATAACACGTCGATTGTAAAGTTCACAAAGGGCGTGTATCTTGATCCATTGATGACTTTATAAAGCGCACGTACATCGCTCAGGTTAAGTAAGCAACGATGTGCCCAGCCTCCTTCCCCATGATATGATTCATAATCGGTTATGTTTAGATTAAAGCAAAGAAAAGGTGATAGGGAAGCCTTTATGTCTTGAGCATTGGCGTCGCCTGCTTCCCAACTGCGTAAGCCTGAAATTAGAAAAATCAAAATCTTGTCCGAATAATAGACTTGGCAACTATTCCTCCCACCAAGTTAAACTGTTGTCGGGAACTCGGTTTGTGCTTCGTGCTGTGCACTGACTTTTTGCCAAAGCAGCCAGATAAATGATTGGCCATTTCTGAGGTTAACAAACCCCTCAGCTGTGGAGGGTTTTTTTCCCCCTTGCATAAATATGTCACATTGGACCACTCGCCATGCATTCACCAAAGCCTTTTCTTGCTCCTCTCCCCCCCATCACAATTTAAAGCCTTCAAGGGCCTCGTGGATTGTTCGACATAATCTGAATAATAAAATATTCTCATGAGAATTATGATTTCCAAGGGAATCTTTCTCCCCCTCCTCCTCCTCCTTCATCTCCCCCCCCCCAGTCACACACACACACAAAATCTCCAGAACCATGAAGCCTACAAACGTGAAATTTGGCACTTAGGTTCCTCTTGGCTTCTAGGTGCTAAGAAAGAATTTTTCGAAATGACCATCAGAGCATTAGTATTTCCTATGTTGTTATTATTAACACGCTCTGATGCTAAGGAGTTCTACCCCCCCTCCCCACCTGAAAAGAAATCTCTTCCAAATGCAAAACACAAGCAGAAGAGAGGAGGTTCAGCTTCAGATTCACAGCACCAAGCAGCTTTAGTACAGAACAGTTGAGCTAAGCCACGCCCAGGCTCCTTGCTGTCTCCTTCTTGCTCACACAGCAAATACTGCTTCAGTTTCCAAGCAGCCCTCAACTCTCTCAGACACTGACAGGACGCCAGTCAGATGAATACCAATGGATGCTGGTAGGCAGAGGCAGAATCCCCCCCCCTTATTTTCCTCCCCCAAAACTAAGCCCGACCACATAGTTCCCTAGCGAAGCACGGGTATAGAGCTAGTATCCTATCACAGAAGCTGCTTTTGGGGGGGGAGGTCTGTGGACCCTAGAAGTTGTGACGAATTGGATGGCTTGGATTGTAGCTGGAGGTAAAGTAACAAAGCTGGGAGAAACAACAGAATAGTATCGCCAAACTGGTGGGAAGAGATGAAGATACAAAACCAGTCAGGAAAGAAGAGATGGGAGAGGCTGAATAATCTGCAAGACAACTTCCAAAGGGCTTTTATTTGGGGTGGGGGTCCTTGACTTACGACTGCAATGTGAGCCCCGAAATTTCTGTTGCTGAGTGAGACAGTTGTTAAAGTGAGTTTTTGGCCCTGTTTTGCCACCTTTCTGGGCTACAGTTGTTAAGTAACAGGGTCGTTAAGTGAATCGACTTTGCCAGGAGGTCACGAAAGGTGACCGCTTGACCCTGAGACACCGTGGCCATCGTAAACGCGAGTCGGTTGCCAAGTAGCCCAACTTCGACCCTATGTCACGGGGACGGCAACGGTTGTAATTGTGGGACATGGTCACGAGTCACCATTTTAGGTGCCATTGTAAATTCGAATGGCCATTAA